AGAACCAACTGGGATCCGTCGTCGACCACTGTAGCACTCGCCTGCGTTCTCGCCGAGATCTGTGGGACCGGTTTGATGCCGAGATTTATGGGGCCTAGAGAGGGGAAAGGGAGGATAGAGAGTAAAAAGAGGGGTATTAAAGTGATTTTGATAAAAAAAGTCAACAGGAAAAAATAAAGGTAGTTCATGTATTACAACACTATTTTGAAGGTGATTTCCATATAAATACTCTTCTAAAACACACATAATTGATTGCTATTTGGTTGAAAAAATAAAAAATGGATAATAATCGTGAATAATAGCCAGCGAAAATCGTAAATTGTAAAGTACACATAATTCTTGGGTAGATATAGATATGAATAAAAATTAACAAATTGTTGGTTATAGCCCCATGAAATCGCGAATTTTCAAGTACTTATAATTGATAGCCAAGGGATAAAATCAATAGGTTATAGCTCATAAAAATTATGAAATTTTAAATATACCTAATTATTGTCATCGGGCTAAAACAGAAAAAAAAGAACAAAAATCGTTATTTATAGCACATATAACTCGTGAATTTTGGAGTACACTTATTTTCCATTGAGTCGGTCATAATGAACAAAAAAGGACAAAAATTATGGTTTATAACCCAAGAATATCATGAAATTTTTAAGTACGATGAATTTCTAGTAGATCAATAAAAGCAAAAATGAACTAAAGCAGCGGGTTACAACCCATGAAAATCGTGAATTTTGAAATATCATAATTAATTGATATTGGCTTGAACAAACAAAAATGTAGAAAATTTGTGAGTTATCGACTATGAAAATTGTGAAATTTGACCTAAGCCTAATTGTCATTGGGTCGAAATATGGAAATGGAAAAAAATTGTGTGCTATAGCCTAAGAAAATCGTGAATTTTGATGTGCATATAATGAAGCATTCATGAGGAAGAGTGAGATTTAGCACTTATCCATATCAATATGGATGGATGGTCTTCTATTTGGGAGTCATGATTCAGTCTAGTGGTATTCTTCTTTATTACATACATCAACTGATTTGTTGATGTTTGAAACATGTTTTAGCTTCAATTTATTCAGGCTTCAACCTTTTAATGGTTCATTTCACCAGCCAATATTTTGTTAAGGATCGAGCTGAAACTAGAAAAAGGTGATGCATAATGCTGAGCGCTAAAATTAGAAGACCCCCCCCCGCGGGTTGGGGGGGGGGGTGCGCGGTGGGGGGGTGGGGGGGGGGTGGGGGGGTGAACTCATTATCTTTTCTATGTGCGGACTATAGCAAGTAGTAAATTGCTTTTCTTAGTACTAAAATGATGGCACTATGCCCTGAAACCTTGAGAAAATAGTGGTAGGACAGAGATTGATACAAATGGCAATCCTCTATGTTTTACTCCATAAAAAGTTGTGCTTGTCTAAGTCAAGTGGTGCCAGCTATTTTGATTGGAGTGATTTTCAGAGAAGTATTAAAATTTTAGGCTCATCAGTTTTCTTGTTTTGACTGTGCCTAGTGTCGTTCTGGGCATTATGTCACCATAATATCATCATGCAATATTTCCAATAGCTTGTAGGAGAGCTTAGTATCTTATTATTGCATGTGATTGATTTTTGTTTGACATGCAACAGGAATCTGCGCGCTTTATGAGAGAAAAATCAAGGATATTAATCCAACCGTCAGAAACATCACCTATGACATTGCTGATCTTTACAACTTCATCGATGGCCTTGCAGATCTGAGTGCACTAGTGTATGATCTCATTTTCTAGCCATATAACCATTTTCCCTCTTTTTTCTTCTTTTCTCGAGACTATGAACTAAAGCTTTCTCCTTGTCTCCAATCACAGCTTTGACCACTCAATTCACGCTTACATACCAAATGATCGGCAATGGATTAAGCAGCGCATGTTTCAGCACCTTAAGAAACTTGCTTCACGTTAGAAGATATCGTTCTCAGTCTGTCCCTGGGAGAAAGGACAGAAGCATGGATTAATATGTTGTATTAAGTTTCTCTTGTTTAATTCTAATCAGAGGTACCTGCCTTGCTTAAGAATGTGTGCATATGGCTTGTTGGGTGTTTTGGATTAATATCTGTTTGGGATTGTACTTTTGACTCTGATCTTGATTTTGAAGATGAAAATATAGTCATGATATGCCTGGTTTTTTCCTTTTCCTTTTTCTTTTTAGGAACGAGTGGAGAGCTTATATAATAGGCAAGTATTGGCATTGTGATCGACCGGTTGCCTTCATTTTAATTTTGTGATACGATAGCACCTAGCAAACCAAGCTGCAGGAGTCTTTGGCTGATCGGTTATTTCTCATTCTTTGTATATCCTGCGATATATAACTAAAGTTGGGAATAATGGATGTGATCAAGACGGCGACATAGACTAGCATGGTGAAGCCATCTCTTTTCACAATGTAATAAGTGAATTTCTCGTCGCTTTGTTCCTTGATATCCCATTTTGATAAGCGAGGTGTATGCCCACCTGATATAGGATGCCGCAGCAATAAAAAAAAGGTTTTTTTATTTAAAGTTGATACAGGATGTCAACAAAGAATAATACACTCAACATTTACACATTCGAGAGAAAGGAGAGGATCCGTTTCACAAGGAAGAAAGCGTTTTCAACATATTAGCAAAATTTTTTCCGCTTACAGATTCTATTTACAGTGAGAACTATCTACGGAGTGATTACGGGTTCATCCAGTCTGACTTTTCAGAATCCTCTGCAATATTGAACAAGAACTGCGGCAACGAAGCAATCCTAGGCAAATGCATCAAGAGCTCCCCATACGACTCCTTTCTTGACATACTCGGTTGTTTACCGCTAAAGTGATCATTATTAATACTAGCCTCCTCTGCTCCATCAGAAACATGAAACAGTGCCTTTCTCTCTGGAGCCCCTGTATCATTATCATCATTACCATCTTGAGGTTGGATCAGGCAGCAAAGGGAGTTGACCCTTGACATGAGAAATTGTTCATCAGAAGCAGAAGCAGAAGCGATTTGTGAATCGCTGAGAAGGTATTGTGTCAGCTCTTCCAACATTGATTTGTCGAGTGAAGAATCTGTTGGTAAAAGTGGGTTGCCTGCGGTTGTTTGCCCAGAGATGCAGTTTCCAATGTGGTTTACAAGGTCAATCACGGACATGGATGAGCGAAGTCCAGGCACTTTTATCTGATCCCAGCGCTTGGTATTGCTCGACTCTTTGGTTCCACTAGTTGTCGGATTCTCTTCCGTAATTTGAGAAAGCCCTGCTAAAATACAGTTAACAAAGCATCTTTGAGATAGGTTTTCTCAGGACAATAAAAGGAAAAGAACAGGAAAAAGAAAACAGAAAACAGGGAAAATTTGGCTCCACAGCCTAAACAATACATATTTCAATCAATAATTCACATCAACCTTTGACTCCAATTGGAGAAATAAAAGAACATTTGAAAAGTGAAGAAAGGGTCAAGACTAGAAGTGGCTCTCAGCTGACAAGCAGCAGTATCACATGAAAGGATCCCAACAGATGATCCAATCACAGCTACAACTTGTTTGCATGAAATAGATAATCTATCCTTTTGGAATCTCAGAGATGTGATTGGATCATCAGAGATGTCTAAAAAGAAAAGACTTACATTAATATATCTATCCTTTTGGAACACATCAATCAATGCACGTCACACGCTATTACAGCAGATTTATGAAGTGGTTTCTAGAAGTACAAGTATTAGGAGAAAGACCTCATGTACACAAAAGCAAATGCTATAACAGCGCAAACGAAAACCTCAACGTAGTTTCAAGAAGTACCTGATCTAGGAGAAGGGGTTTTTTCCTGTGGCAAATCGTCTGGTGTTCTACCAATAGGAAGACAGATCTCATTATTAGTGGAAGGTGATAGGCCATCATGTGATAACATAGAATCCTGGAATCTACAAATTTTGGAATCAAATCCATCCTTCAGATCATCAAAACCGTGACACTTAGATTCAACATGATCCTCAAAAGCAGAACCTCTTGATTCAAAATAAGGAGATTCTAAGATGATCTCCGGCTGCTGACTTAGTGAGTTTAGGCGTGGATCACACTGAATGAGCTTCTCAAAATGCTTGCTTAACAGGCCCGGTGGACACTGAAGAAAATGTCTCCTGCAAAAAGAATTTGCATAAACATCATAATAGCAATGTCATGATCATAGTTATAATAGTACGAAAATTTCAACCATTAAACAAAGAAAGAGTTCCTATCATAGAACAATGTATTAGGAAAAGTCAAAAGGGAACACAGAAAGGAAGGGCAAAAGAAATGAAAAACTTATAAGCTTGTCACTGCCGTCATGAAATTCATAAAGTTGTCGGATGTCGGGTAGGCTAAGCAGATTGTGAGTTATAGCTCATAAACTCTCGAATTTGAAAGTACACATACTTAATTTCCTTTAGGTAAAAAAATGAAAAATTGTTGTGAATTTCGATATATGCAAATTTAATTATCATTTTGTTGAAACAGCAAAAATTGACATACTCATGGTTTATACCAATGAAAATCGTGAACTTTGACGTATGCAAAATTAATTACCACAGGGTCGAAATGAACGAGAATGGACAAAAATCATGGATTAAACGAAGATCACAAATTATGAAGTACCCATTCCATTCATATTTTGCTAAAATAAATGAAAATAGACAAAAATTCGTGTTTTATAGACCATGAAATTGCCATAGGGTCAAAATAAACGAAAACGTAGAAAATCAAGGGCTAAATCCTGCAAAATCATAAAATTTTAAATACGCAAAATTAATTACCATTGGATCCATTAAAATCATGATTTTGGCAGTGCGCATAATAAATTCCAATTAGGTTGAAATGTCCAAAAATGGAAGAAAATCATGGCTCATAGCCATTTTTCAGTCATTTTGAGCCGTTTGTCAAACAAATTCACGAAGACCAAAACTCGTGATTTCGTGAGCTATAAACCACGATTTTCAACCATCTTTAGTCGTTTCGACACAAAGACAAATAATTTTGCGGAAGCCAAAATTCAAGATTTTATGGGTTAGCACCCACGCTTTTTGTCCAATTTTAGCCATTCTAGCCTATTAGCAAATGATTTCATGGAGGCCAATATCTACAATTTCATGGGCTATAACCCACAATTTTTAGCCATTTTAAAAAAAATTCACGGATGCCAAAGTTCATTACTTCATGAGAAATAACCCACAATTTTTGCCTATTTTATTTATTTTGACCCCTTGGTTTTGCGAAGGACAAAATTCACAATTTCATAGCCTATAACCCACGATTTTTGGCTATTTCTTAGTCATGTCGACCCATTGATAAATAATTTTATGGAGGTCAAAATTCATAATTTCATGAGCTATAACCCACGAATTTTGGCCATTTTTATTCATTTCTACCTATTCTCAAATAATTTCACGAGCCAAAATTAAAGATTTCATAAGCTATAACCCATGATTTTTGGCCATTTTTAGTTGTTTCCGCCCTCTTTTTAAATAATTTTGCGGTGACAAATTCACGATTTGATGAGCTATAACCAATAACTTTTGGCGATTTTTAATCGTTTTGACTCTAAAACAAATAATTTTGTGGATGACAAAATTGAAGATTTTATGAGCTATATAACCCACGATTTTCGGTCAAATTTAGTCGCTTCGACATGTTAGTAAATAATTTTGCAGAGACAAAACTTGCGGTTTAATGAACTATTATTCATGATTTTTAGCTATTTTTAGTTGTTTCGACTCATTGGTAAAAAATTTAATGGAGGCCAAAATTCGCGTTTTAATGAGCTAAAGTCCATGATTTTTTCTAGTTTTAGTCATCTACACCCATTAGCAAATAATTTTGCAAAGCTAAAAATTCACGATTTTATGAGCTATAACCCTATATTTCTATGCCATTTTTTGTTGTTTTGACCCGTTGACAAATAATTTCATTGATGCTAAAATTCACAATTTAATGAGCTATAACTCATGATTTTTTGCCATTTTAGTCGTTTCGACCCATTGGTAAATAATTTTGTGGAGGCCAAAATTCAAGATTTAATGAAATTTTCCATTTTCAATCGTTTAGACCAATTGGCAAGTAATTTCTCGATAACCAAAATTCACGATTTCACGAGCTAAAACTAATAATTTTTTTTATTTTGAGTCATTTTAACTTGTTGACAAATAATTTTGTAGTGGGCAAAATTTACGATTTTATGAGCTATAACCCACGATTAAAGGCTATTTCTAGTCGTTTCGACCCTTTAGCTAATAAATACATGAAGACCAAAATATATGATTTCTTAAGTTATAACACATGATTTTTTTGCCATTTTTAGTCATTCCGACCCCTTTACCAAACAATTTCAAAGAGGTAAAATTCATGATTTCATGAGTTATATCTCGTGATTATTGGTCATGCTTAGTCGTTTCGAATCAATAGTAAATCATTTTGCAAAGTCCGAACTTCACGATTTCATGAGCTATAACTCATGATCTTCAGACATTTTATATTGTTTTGACCCATTATCAAATAATTTCGCGGAGTCCTTCATGAGTTATAACTCACGATCTTCAGACATTTAAGTTGTTTTGACCCATTAGCAAATAATTTCGCGGAGTCCAAACTTCACGATTTTATGAGCTATAGCCCTTGATTTTTACCATTTTTACATGTTTCGACCTATTGAAAAATAATTTTGTGGTGTCCAAAATTCACCATTTCCCAAGCTACAACCCCCAATTCAAAATGCAAAATTTCGTGGAGGTCAAAATTCACGATTCCCTAAACTATAACTTATGATTTTTTGGCCATTTTTAGCATTTCAACCAGTTAGCAAAAGATTTCACAGAGGCAATAATTCACCATTTCTTAAGCTATAACTCATGATTTTTGATCATTTTTATTCATTTCCACCTATAGGCAAATAATTTCAAGGAGTTCAAAATTCATAATTTCATGAGATATAAGTCACGATTATTAGCTATTTTTTTGTTCATTTTGACCCGCCATCGAAAACTTCTGCAATGGCTTGAATTCACGATTTTTTAACTATAACCCATGATTTTTTTTGCCATTTTAATCATTTCGATCCTTGGTAAATAATTTCGCGAACATAATTCATAAATTCATAAGCTACAGCTCACGATTTTTTGTCATTCTTAGTCATTTCGACCTCTTGGCAATTAATTTCATAGTGGTTAACATTCGCGATTTCTTGAGCTATAACCCATAATTTTTGGTTATTTTTAGTCATTTCGAACCTTACCAAATATTTCACGGAGGTCGAAATTCACATCTTCATTAGCTACAATCCACGATTATTGAACATTTATTCTCATTTCAAACAATGATTGCTAAATAATTTTGTCGAGTCCAAAGTTCGTGAATTCATGAGATATAGCTCACAATTTTTTGTCATTTCTAGTCATTTCTCTCATTGGCAATAATTCGACGGAGGCTAAAATTCACAATATCATGAATTATAACCCACAATTTTTGGTCGTCTTCAGTCATTTTGACCTATTGGCAAATAATTGGAGAGATGAAAATTCAAAATTTCAACAGCTATAACCTGACTTTTCGTCAATTTAGTTTTGATAAATAATTCCTCACAGATCAAAATTCACGATTTCGTGAGTTATAATACACAATTTTTGATCATTTTAGTCATTTCGACCTATTAGCAAATTAGCAAATAATTTCATGAGGTCAAAATTCACTATTTTATGAGCTATAACCAAGAACTTTAGTAGTCATTTAGATCCGATGATTTTGCGGAGGCTAAAATTCACAATTTAATAATTTTAAGAGCTATAACCCATGATTTTTTGTCATTTCAAACCGATTAGATCCATTAGCTAATAATTTCGTATGGGCCAAATTAATGATTTCATGAGCTACAAACCACGATTTTGATCTTTCTTATTAGTTTCAGCCCGCAAGTAAATAATTTTGCGAAAGCCAAAATACATGATTTCATAAGCTATAACCCATGATTTTTTATCATTTTATAGGTTTCGAGCCATTAGCAAAGGATTCTTTGGACATCAAGATTCACAATTTTATGAACTATATAACCCATGATTTTTAACAATTTTTAGTCATTTTGACACATTGGCAAATAATTTCGCGGAGGCCAAAATTCATAATTTTATAGGCTATAATACAATTTTGTCAATTTTAATCGTTGTCACATAATTTCTCAGTGGCCAAAATTCACGATCTTATGAGCTATAATTAACGATTTTTAACTATTTTCAATCATTTCAGCCGCTGGCGGATAATTTCGCTAAGGCCAAACTTCACGATTTCATGAGACCACATTATATTTGGCCATTTTTGTAAACTTTGCCCATTGACAAATAATTCCACATGCACCAAAAATCACGATTTTTTGAGCTATATCTTACGATATTTGGATACTTTTGTCGCTTCAATTTGTTGGCAAAAATTTTTGTGGAGTAAAAATTTCACGATTTTATGAGCTATGAACCTCGATTTTTGGCCATTTTTACTCGTTTCGACTCATTAGCAAAAAAATTCACAGAGGCAATAATTTGCCATTTCTTGGGCTATACTCTATAATTTCTAGCCATTTTTATTCATTTTGGCCCATAACCAGCAAATTTTACGTAGTTAAAAATTCACAATTTCATTGGCTATATACCCACGATTATTTTCCATTTTTAGTCGTTTTCACCCATTGCCAAATAATTTCGTGATAGCCTAAATTAAAGATTTTGTGAGATATAACCCATGACATTTGGCTATTTTTACTCGCTTCGACCTGGTGGTAAATAATTTTTCAGAGACCAAAATTCCCGATTTCATGAGCTATAACTCACAATTTTTTATCATTTTTAGGCATTTCGACGCATTGACAATTAATTTCGCATGGCTAACGTTCACGATTTCTTGAGCTATATGCCGTGATTTTTAGCTATTTGGCGACCCTTAGTCAATAATTTTACGTAGGCCAAAATTCATGATTTCATGAGCTAATGCACGATTATTGGACATTTTTTATTGTTTCGAACAATTGTTAAATAATTTTGCAAAGTCCAAACCTCGTGAGTTATAATCACCAATGATTTTTAGGTTTTTTTGTTCGTTTCGCCCCGTTGGCAAATAATTCTATGGA